CCATGAATTCTGGTCCCTTGAGTCACTGTCTGGTGATATTATTTCAGATATTTGAAAAGAGTTTCCAGGCCCCTCTTAGTCCTCTCAGGTCATGAGGTTTGAATTTCTCACCATCTTAGACACTCTCCTGGTTTTCCAATAACCATATTAGCTGAGACACTCTCAGTCTCTGCAGGGGAACAGAAGCTTTCACTTGTTACTAATAGCATTTTCATTAAGTATAATCTTTTTTTTTTTTTTTTGTGAGGAGGATCGGCCCTGAGCTAACATCTGCCAATCCTCCCCTTTTTGCTGAGGAAGACCGTCCCTGGGCTAACATCCATGCCCATCTTCCTCCACTTCATATGGGATGGTGCCACAGCATGGCCTGACAAGCGGTGCATCGGTGTGTGCCCAGGATCCAAACCAGCGAACCCCGGGCCGCCGCAGTGGAGCGCACACACGTAACCGCTTGCGCCACAGGGCCGGCCCCTCATTAAGCATAATCTTTATGTAAAATAATCTGGCATAATTAGTAATCAAGATTTTATCTGCCTTATGGTTTGGTCATCACTTTGTAGTAATAAAACTGTATCTTAAGGAAATAATTAAAGAGGAAAAGAAGACCAATTTATACAAAGACGGATTTAGAGTAATTACTCCCTAGAAATGGTCTAACATTTGAAGAATGTTTGTAGAACAATATATACTTGTCAAAAATGATACGTAGACCAGATAGCAATAAGAAAAATTATAGAATAAATGAAAAAAAGTAAAATAAAAAATGGCGTATTAATTGCAATGTATAGGGATGTGAAGAAATTAGAATTGTAGACTGTGGATCCCTTAAGGTAAAAGGGTCCTTTGTAAAATTTTGATGTTTTCTCCTCCCCTGGCATTATTGATTAAATCTGCAGTGAAGACTGTCGTGCCCAGAGGTGAACATAGCTGGAGTAGGGGACTGTTGGAGGGAGTGGGAGAAGGTGGGTCATGAAGGATAGATCTGGGTCAGACTTCATGTCTTAGTCTGTTCTGGCTGCTGTAGCAAAATACCGCAGACTGGGTGGCTTATAAACAACAAAAATTTATTTCTCACAGTGCTGGAGGCTGGAAGTTCACGATCAGGGTGCCAGCATGGTTGGGGTCTGGGGAAAGCCTTCTTCTAGGTTGCAGACCTGGAACAAAGGGACAAAGTTTTGCCATGTCCTCAAGTGGTGGAAGGGAGCGGCTAGCTCTCTGGGGCCTCTTTTATAAGGGCACTAATCCCATTCTTGAGAGCTCTGCCCTCATGACATAATCAGCTCCCAAAAATGCACCCCCCTCCTGACACCATCAGCTTGGGCATTAGGTTTTCAACATATGATTTTGAGGGACACAAACATTGAGACTGTAGCACTGCAGATGGTCTTGTGCATCATTACACTGAAGACTTAGGTCTTTAGCTTGTGGATAAGTGTTCTAATTGCATCTGTGAGATTTAAGACAAAGCACACAAAAAGGAGTGAAACCTTCATTTCTAGTGTTACTCATCCACTGACATAGCCCGATAGGTGAAATGTTTGAACCCAACAATAGGAAGTTGATGATCAACTAAACCCCCAAATATTTTTTCACATATTCTTCCACCAACCAGTTTTCCCCAAACCATAATTGTTTGATTAATTTTTAATCTAGATATATAAGAATTTCACATTTGTTTTTGCTGATATTTTTCTTATCAGTTCCAGCCCAGTATTCCAAAAGTTTGAGATAATTTTGAGCACTTTCAATGTCTGTCATTATTTAAGATAGTTTCTGTATCATCTTAAATTGTGATCATAACCATAAAAATAGCTAGTCATTATTGAGTGCTTACTATGGATCAAGCACTGTGTTAAATGTTTTACCTCATTTTATCCTCAGAACAGGCCTACAAAGTGGGTATTATTATATCATCCCTACCAAAGATCATATAGATAACAAGTGTCAGAAACAAGACTCAAGCCCAGGTATGTCTAATGCCAAATCCCACACTCCTAGCCACTGCAGTGTGCCATTTCTGAGCATCCTTCTAGTTTTATCCAAGGCACTGAAGAGCCCAGACTAAGGATAGATCTCTGGGACATTCCACTTCTCTCCCAATGGACATAAAACCACTGATTCATGCTCATTGGATATTGTGATTCATCTAATTGTCAATTCACTTGGCAAGACTATTATCCACCCAACTTTTACTATTTTATTCACAAAAATATCATGGAAGACTATTAAATGCTTTGCAGAACTAAAAAGTATTATGCCTATGACATTCGCTTTATCTAATAACATCTGCATTTCCTGCCAACTTTATCTTCTTCTTTCTAAGAGGTCTCCTCACCTACATGATTGTCTCCCTCACTAAAGAAAGCATCCACCACAGTGTGGCTAGGGTGATCTAAACTCAAGCCCTGTTATAACCCCCTGCTTCAGATACTGCAGAGGCCCCCCGTCTTCTACAGAGGGTGTTCTTCACCTCTGTTCCAGGACCACCAAGGACTTCAAGAAATTTATAATTCTATTTCAAATTATATAAATGCTGAATATATGTGCACTCTGCTCTGAAAAGCATCCACAGTTTTATATTAGATTATCAAAAAGTAGCTATGATTTTAATGCCTGTAAATCACTTATAAAATAAAGACAAATTTTCCTAAATATTTATACAAAACTCTTCATGACCTAATTCCCAACCCTCCCAGCCTCGTCTCCTTCCTTGTCTCCCCCTTTAATACCCACCACGTTCACACACACACACACACACACGCAAATAAGACCGCAGTTCTTGTGGTTTCTCAAAATGCGATGTGTTTGCTCACTCCCACACATAAGTGCGTGCTAGGCCTTCTTCCTTCTCCCCCTCGTGAGATCTTACTCATCTTCAAACCTCAGGTGCAATATCACTTTCTCAATGAAACCTGCCCTGACCTATCCAAGGAGCATGAAGTGTTTTCATGAAGCTTTGCTCATAGCATTCTTAGAGCATTTATCAAATTGCTCTCATTATTTGATTGCAGATCTGTCTATATAATCACATGGTGGCCATGACCTGGATATAATGGTGAGAATCAAAATAATGGCCTTTGTTCAGTGCACCTTCTTTATTTATAGATGTGCGTAAACTTTACCTTTCTGAGATCCGACAAGGAATAATTTGACATGTGTTAGTGAAAGGTCAATGTAATCCTGGCTCTGTTTTAGGGACTGTGGATGTCCCATAAAGGAAGCTCATGTCATCGTTCCTTCTTTCTAAAAGTTTACAGTCTTGTGGGTGGCGAAGACTTAGACATGCACACTCCAACTTAAGACTCACTGATGGTACTGTAATTGTTTGCTTGCCCTCCCACGGTGCTGTGATTGACTGCCAAGGCAGCAAACTAGTGTAGTCCTCAGAGCCTAAACTTTGAACTTACACATACCTGAGTACCAGTCTGAAATATTCTGCATACCAGCTGTGCAAGACTGAACAAGTTGTATAAACTCTTAGCCTTGGTTCCATCAGCTGCAAAATGAAGATAATGCTTACCTCACATGCTGACATAGATAATATATGCAAAACACATAGTAAGTATGCAACAAATAATGGTGATGGAGGTAATGCTGGTAGTGAACGTTGATGATGTTAATGATGATGATGCTATTAGCACATTGAACTGGAGCTCCTTGAGGACAAGAATTATGTTTAATTTATCTTTAAATCCCCAGCACCTACTGCAGTGCCTTTAACACAGTAGATAATAAGCAAAGGTTTGTTAATGATCCATTACCAAGCCCAAGATATTGAAAGTCAAGGGAAGATAGAAAAAGAAGAGACTTGCATGAACTAGAATTATCAAGGAAAAGTTCATTTCGGAGGGAGATATAAAAAGGGTAGATTGACTCAGAGCCAGAGAAGAGGTCAGAAGGTACTGAAGGTGAAGGTACAAACACATTGTCTGTGATGGGACAGGGCAAGGCGAATGTGTTTTGTTTGGTAGGAAGCAGAAGCAGTGAGCGTGTGATGTAATGAAACACTTTGTCTTTACTAAAACTTGACTGTTCAGTGCTGTGCCTGGAGATTAACAACAAAGACAGCAGTCCTAAACTTTGCTCCTTTTGGAAACCGCATGTTATATCAAAACCATACAAAACAATGTTTCATTTAGATAAACTGTGTGGTCTAATGGGAAAAACATGAACTTTATAGGACGGCAAATCTAGGTTTGTATTTTAGTTTTGCCACTTAATGAACTATTTTATCTTGGGCAAGTCACTTACCTCTTTGAGCTTCAGTTTTCTCCTCTGTAAAATGGGAATAATAATGCTTATCTCACAGGGCTGGTCTGGGTCTTGAATGAGATGCTTCTTGTAAGGTCTCCAGTGCAGTGCCTGGTACGCAGCAGGTGTCAAATAAACATGAGTGCTGCTGTCATTTTTAATAGTGTGAATTGATGCACTTATGTGTGTGGGCTGAGTTTTGGTTGTGCATGTTTTTGGACATGTAAACTTCAGTCTACTTGATCTGAGGGTAATTGGGCCTTTTGAAATGGAAATAATCCAAAAAAAGAACACGTGTGACATGGTGCCCAATGGCCATTTGTCCTTTAAAATGAAGAAATGCAAAACGTTCTGAGCGTGTGAGCAATTGTATAGGGTGAATGCTCAAACAGGAAGCGAATTATTTCCTTTATTAATTACCTGCTGTACAAACTGTCATGCAAATACTGCCATATGCTTTATGTAAAGTATTGAAAACCCTTATGGCTTTATTCTTCTGCTTGGATTTTTTTCTGTAGTAAAATACATAATGGAATTAATTTCAAGTGTGTTTGTCTGTAAACCAGCCAAATATTTTCTTTTAAATACTTGAGCTCTATGTCGAATATATAGAGTTATGATTCTTAGCACATTACATTTTTTTTTTCAGTAATAGATTTCATCCTTTAATCATTTAAAGGACTTTTAGTTTCACATGTGCTAAGGTGTCCCTGTGTCCGTAATAAATGAAAGTTTTTCATTTCATGCAGGTTCTTCCAGAGGACCCAGCCCCCTTACCATGGGAGCCCAGGACACCCTCCCTGTTGCAGCAGCATTTACAGAAACGGTCAATGCCTACTTCAAAGGAGCAGATCCAAGCAAGTAAGCCTGGGCTTGGTCTACTGTAGTCCCCAAATTCTATCTCATTCAGTGGGTGACACCCTAAATATAACTATTTCATTCCTTATCTTAAAACCAAAAGAAATCCAGTTAACAATAACAGGTGGCCTACCTAGAATGGAGGAGAAAATTTAATTAGGAGTATTAATTCACTGCTTTAAAGAAAATGTTCCAAAAAGTCCAATAATCTAATATCTTACTATCCAGAGATCTCTGATTCAGTTTTGGTCACAAGTTACAGACAACCCTAACCCAACTCTGTCAACAGTGAGAAAATTTATTATCTAGAACCAGATCTAAATGTCTAGATCATGTCTTTATCATCTTAGTCTTTCCCAGATGGGAATCACCCGCATATGAACTGAAACAATGGTGCATTGGAATGAGAACCTGGAAAATAAACACCTCTCCATACACATAACACACAGATTAGTAAGAGACCAAGTTATATGTTACCCTTACTAAGTGAGGAAAAATTAACCAAAAAAAAATTATAATCACAGCAAAGTGTAGTTTCTAGGGAAAAATGCACCACTGTCCATCTACATGAGCCTGATTTCACCTATGTCAGTACATATTGGCAATGGACTAGATCTGAATGCATATGTAATATAATTCAATATTTTGCCTTTCTATAAGGAGTTCCATGGATAGGGTTCAGGAAGTCTGAGGATTCCCTGAAATTATATTGCATATCTTATGTGTGTGTGCATATGTGCATTTGTCCATAGAGAGGCTCTACAGCATTCAGCAATTTCATAAAGCAGTTCATGGTCCAAAAAAATGTTGGGGCCAGCACGGTGGTGCAGTGGTTAAGTTTGGCATGCTCTGCTTTGGCAGCCCGGGTTTGCAGATTCAGATCCTGGATGTGGACCTACACCACTCATCAAACCATGCTGTGGCAGCTACCCACATACAAAATAGAGGAAAGATTGGCACAGATGTCAGCTCAGGGCCAATCTTCCTCAAGCAAAAAAAGAGACAGATTGGCAACAGATGTTATCTTAAGGCCAGTCTCACTCACAAAAAAAAAAAAAAAGTTGAGTCATTGTTGGTCTACACTGAAAACTAAACACCTAAGTCAAACTCGTTTTCAAGTGTGTCACAAATACAATTCCAGATCTGAATTTGATGGTTCAACAAAGGACACGCCTAGGTAAGGAAAGAATTGCTCTTCTTTTTTACGTGTGAGGACTGGGGTTTAGAAAACCTTAGCATCTCTGAAAATAAGAATGAGAGAAAAAATTAAATGTGCATTTAGAACACTAGACTATTTTATAAAAATTTTTGAAACGGTGATAATTAAGTATAATTAAAACTTGGACCTCCACATGTGTTTTAAGTGGGAATCTATATGACTAATCATGAATTCTTTTTACACTTCAGAAATGCTCATTTTCTTAAGTCTAAATCTAACAATATTATGCTGGGAAACTAATATAATTAGTAACTCCACCTTTAAGTGTCCTGCCTAGCCACTGGCATCTATCAACCTCCCTAAATGTCATGTCCTTTTAAACAACATTTAGGTTTTATCCTAGGTCCAGAGTATTATAGAAAAACAAACACTGTGGACTCTAGTGTCTTAGTCCATTCAGACTGCTATAACAGAATACCATAGACTGGGTGGCTTATAAACAACAGAAATCTATTTCTCACAGTTCTGCAGGCTGGAAGTCCAAAATTAAGGTGCTGGCAGATTCGGTATCTGATGAGAGCCAGGTTCACAGTAACCCTACGTGGTGGAAGGGGCTGGGGAGCTGTGTGGGGTTTCTTTTATGAAGGCACTGATCTCATTTATGCAGGCCCTACCCTCGTGACCTAATCACCTTCCAACAGCCCCACCTCCAAATACCATCACACTGGGGATTGGGTGTCACCATAAATTTTGGGAGGACACAAACATTCAGTCCATAGCACTCTGGTTTCTCCCATGTATTTTCTCTTTCATCTCCAGAGCGGGAAGGTCATTTGCCAACCACATCCACATATCCGTAGAAATTAAAGCTACCTCATGCAGAGTATGCATTTGAACTGTTAGAGCAAGTAAGCACCATGAGCGTGGGTAGTATACATGCCTTGTAGACATACGTACATGTTTGTTCTGTAGACTCTTCTTCGAGCAAAGACTGCATAACTTTCTGTCATACCAGTTCTAAGGACTATTCATGACCGACTGACCTGTACCTTAGAAAGCTCAGGCTGACCTGAATTGAGAAAAGTGGGTAGACACACAGCTTAAAAAAAAATAAGAGTAGTCAGGAGTGTGGAGAGATGTCTGTAGCAGAGTGAAAAACACTGGGAATCACACAAGAATGAATTCTTTTTTGTCTGCTTACTAATTCTTTCGTTTATTCAGAGAGACTAATTGGTAGTGGGTACTTCCACTTTTGCTCCCCCTGAAATCTATTCTCAATGTCCTATGTCACTCTCTGCTCAAAATCCTCCTCTCTTGGTCAAAGTAGAAACCAAGTACTCTGTATTGGTCTATGAGGCCCTACATGATCTGCCCTTTGAGACACTACCCCATCCCAGTTGCCACCTCTCTGATCTTGTCTCCATCACTCACATCCTTATTCACTCCCTCTAGCCACACTGGCTTCACAAACTGTTTCTCTTGCTTCACCCCAGCCCTATCTGCATCTCAGGGTCTTTGCATTTGTTGCTCCTTCGGCCTTGGTGAAATCTTCTCCCAGTCATCTGAGTGACTTGTCCCCTCACTTCCTTCAAGATTCTTCAGTAGATTTATCGGAGACCTTCCCTGTCCACCCTGTGTACAATAACAACACTCCTTTCCATCCACTGTTAACACTTCCTTCCTCTTTACCTCGCTTTCTCTTTCTCCATAGCCCTTCTCTCTAATTAGCATGTTACATGTTCTCAGTGCCCACTGTCTGTCTCTTCCCCTACTGGAATGTAAACTCCATGACAGCTGGGACTTTGAGCATTTTGTTCATTATTGTGTCCTCAGCACCTAAAATAGAACCTGGCATGCAGTACTCAGTGCATATTTGCTGAAGGAGTTGAGTTGAGCTACTCACCTGACATTTACGGAATGGCTACTATGTGCCTGCCATTGTGCTAGACATGGGATATATTGGTGGCGAAAACAGCTGATATGGGAAATAAGACTCATGCCTAAATATAATACAAAGTCCACTATAGGAGGGGTGTAGATATGATGCAATGTGAGTTAAGAAGCCCTTAATAATATTTTTTAAATCCCAAGAAGTGATGTAGCAACGTACCAGTTACCTTGTGGGCCTGGCCCTATACAAGCTGGGTTCTTCATCCTGTGTCAGTTTCCCCAGCACACTATGACAGCTGTGTAGGGAGGTCTGCACCAGTGAGCCTGGTGTCCGTGACCGTGGCATTCTAGTGATGTGGCACTTGAGCCAAATTAATATTAATGCTTTTCCTATGCCCTTCCAGATTAAATGAGCCTTTGACTTGCAAGTGACTGCATATATTGTCTGTTTTCAATTGTATTGCCATAACTAGTTGCAGTATATACTGTTTATTGGTAGATGGAAAATTCAGTATATTTCATTGAAATTATGAGATCTGAAATTTATGAACAGATCATGAAGTGACATTCTTCTAAATTTAATTTCATCTCCAGGCAGTGAATCATTTTAATTGCTGTTCCTTTGTTATTCATTTTCAAGGAAATAACTCAAGTTCGAAAGTTCGCTCATGGGGTGAGGTGGGGAGGAGGATAAAGCCAAACACAGCACCCCATGGAGAAATGATGCGGAAAAGGCATGTGGATTTGCTTTGCCTGTGGTTCCCTCATCCTACATCAAAGCCTACCCCATTTGTTTTCAGACCATACATTAGGAAACAGAAACCTACTACTTTATTATGTATTATGATATATAATCTATTCAATATAGTTACACTCTTTCTCTGAGTATTCAGAACACCTGTACCAGGTGTTCTGACATCTGAGTCTTTCTCGGTAGCTCATGAGCAGAGAACTCCTTGACTTTTGCTGCTGGCTGGGGAAACACATCTTCCGTTATTAGCTCCTATTTGAACAATCCTGGTGCTAAGGATTAATTCTCTAATCCCCTAGAGAAACTTAAGTTTCTCAGCTATATTCTCTTCTTTCCTTATCATCATATTTCCATTATGTATTCAAGTGTCTGTCTCCCTGCTTAAATTGGAAGTTTGGGCAAGGACCACCTTTGTCCTGTTTCTCCCTGCCCATCCTAGTGCATTACTAATGCCTGGTACATTTTATAGGCACCTTGTATTTAATTGTTAAATGTACAAATTTACTTTTAAAACATTTTATTGAGTTCCTTCTCTGCACTGGGTTCTGTGTTATGCACCTTTGCCTTCCCAGAACCTAAGACCCAGTACTTGCCTTGACAATAGTAGGTAAGATACATGTAAGAAACTACAAAACAGTTTTCAAAAAACAAAATCTGTGTATTTGTCCAAAGAACCTAGAGAAAGGAAAAACAAAGGAAGGCTGAATGGAGAGGAAATTAACGAAGGCTTCAGGAAAGCCTGCCTTTGAACTGAGTCTTGAAATATGAAGAGGAGTTTGCCTAGTAATTAAGCCAATGAAAGGGGATTATAAATAAAAGAAGGGAAGCTGCATATGCACAGAGGTATGTATGCTCGAAAGGAAGACCGTGGCTTGGTTATCAAGGCAGCACATAGAAGCCGTATTTTACGTGAGGGATGCGTTTCTCATGACCTCACATAAATCAAAATCACACATTTCCTGACCAAAGTTGGCCAGCGTTTCTGTTGACTGGCAAACATGACACTTCCTGTGACAATAGGGAGGACCCAGTTTTTAAGTCACTTGGCCAGTTGACTTTGAAATTTTGCCATTCTAGACAAATGTTTCATTTGTGGAGATTCACATGACTTCAAATTTTATTCATAAAGTAAATTTGCTAATATTTCCATATTGCAGTATTTAAGATTTCCATACTTTAAACTCACACGAAATGTAGCCACATTGCATACTGATAGGAACAATCAGTAAGGTTGAATAGAGATTTTCTTTTAGCGAGGATAGGTTGAAAATAATAATTTTTATATAGAAAATTTCAGATGAACTTAGACACTGGATGGATTAATAAATCAGCAAAGATCTGACTCTGACAGTTGAGACGCGGTACAGAAATGTAAGTGAGGAGCCCTTCTTATATTGGCAAATTCTCTCATCGTCCACCCCACACTGTAAGCCCTTTAAAAGCAAGGGCTGTTTTGCTCATTTTTTAATTGCCTCTCCACTCAAAAAAACAAACAAAAACAAAACAACAACTTGTATAGTTATGAGTCAATAAATGTTTATTGACTTAATTAATGCCACCTCCTCCCCTCGCTGACTTGTTTTCAAAAGAGAAATTTTATCCTCCTCCAAGATACCCTTAAGGTCTCATTTTGAGCAACCTGGAAAAGAAACCGAGCAGATTCCCTGCCAGTTAGAAAACGTTGGAGTCACCACTGCTAACCACAATATACCGAGAGATGGTAGGTGCCGAAGTCTAATTGAACAAATGCTCTGACTAATTATTGTTTTCTTCTAGAGTTGTCAAACAATATTATGCATGTCTACATATTGAAAAACATGAAGAGTAGACTCAGCTTGATGGGAAGTCCAGGTTCAGCACCAGTTCAGCGTCAGTAAATCAAGCCAGGTTTATGGATCTGAAAAATAGAGAAAGAAGACAGCAGCGTTGGCACCCAAACCGGGAGATCAGCACTATTCTCCGGAGGAGATGGAGGTGCAAACTTCCAGAAACCAAAATTCCCATTCAGAGCAGTGCAGAGTTATGGATGATAATATCTGGGGGAGCTGAGAGCAGTGGGGGCACATGACAACTTCAGGAAGCTCACCTGCCCTCCACCTCTACTCCAAACCCAGCCTTATACATACAAGGCTATAGCAGTTCTTCACATGAGCTATTTGGAGTATGTACTAAGGACCATCTCACCTGAGCCACATGTGTCTCATCAGTAAGAGTTACAAGTATACAAGGTGACTATGGGGCAAGCAGAGTCCCCTGTAATCAGATGTGAGCAAAGTTTTCATTTATTAACCTCGATTTCCCTGGAGAAGACACTCTTGAACTTAAAGTTGTAGAATTGTACAAGGGTCAGTTATGCACATGTATGGGGAAGTCATAAAGAAGCTTCCTCATTTTAAATATCTACTGTTTCCCAAAGAAGAATAATCCTTTTGAGATTTCTCCTTCTGGCCAAGGTAGAGTAACAGGGACCGTTTACCCTTCCACCTGAAAATATCTCAAAAACGAACAAGATATATGAAACAATGATTTCTAAGACACTGGAGCTCGGGTGAAGGACAGTGACCCCTGAGAGGTCGGCTTGCCATATGATTTCCCCAGCTCACTTCCTTGAGAGTGTCCAGGCCGTGGCATAGGGAGAGCCCAGCAGACTCCCAGCTGTTCATAGGGAGGTGTCCTACTGAGGCACACTCCACAAGACTGGCTGAGCGGGTGCCAGAAGCAGCCAATGGCTTGTGGGTACTGCTGACCACCATGCACTGCAGAAGCTGGCTGTGGAGGCAGCGTGCATATGACAGGAGCCTGGTGCTGGAGAACCCACCTGCACTGCAGAATCTGGGGTCTGGGGCAGCCCAGCAATGTGCACTATAGGAGCCAGGTGCCAGGGAAGCTACCTGTACTACTGGGCACTAACAAAGCCACATAGGCTGCAATACCCACACACTGGGAGTGCCACAGGCACTGCAGGAGTCACACACAAGCCTCCTGCACTGCAGGAGCCTGGCACAGATAAGCCCTGAGTACTGCCCAAGCCTGCCCAGCAAGCACACTGGAACCAGGAAGGAAAAATCTCTTCTTCCTGCAGTATCTTTCCAGCACCCTCTACTGACAGAACTTAACATGGTGCCTGTTGGCGATGAAAAACTATATATAAAGGGCCCAATAGTAATTTGCTCAGAGCAGGCACCAAACAGTGAATTGGATCTACATTGATTTTTATGTAGAAATTGACACAATGGTTCTAAATTTCATATGGAAATGCAAAAGACCTACAGTAGCCAAAACAACTTTGAAAAAGAACGAAGTTGGTGGACTAACACAACTTAATTTCAGAACTATTGTAAAGCTACAGTCATCAAGACAGTGTGGTATTGGTGAAAAGAGACACAAAAAAGATCAATGGAACAGAACAGAGAATCCAGAAATAGACCCACACACATATGAACAAGTGAATTTCAACAAAATTGCCAAGTGGAGAAATTCAGTGGAGAAAGGACAGTCTTTCCCCAACAAATAGTGCTAGAACAATTAGGTACCCATATCCACACACTAAAAAATGAACTTGGATCCATTCCTCACACTTTATACAAAAATTGACTAAAAATGGATCATAAAGCTAAATGTAAAACTAAACATAAAAAACTTCTAGAAGAGTGGGGCCGGCCCGATGGCGTAGTGGTTAAGTTCGCATGCTCTGCTTCAGTGGCCTGGGGTTCGTGTGTTCGGATCCTGGACAAGGACTTACACGTACTCATCAAGCCATGCTGTGGAGGCGTCCCACACACAAAGCAGAGGAAGATGGGCATGGATGTTAGCTCAGGGACAATTTTCCTCAAGCAAAAAGGGGAGGACTGGCAGCAGAAAATTCTAGAAGAAAATATAGGTGAAACCTTTATAACCCTGGATTTGGCAGAGATTTCTTAGATAGGACTCCAAAAGAATAAATTAATTAGATACAACCCATAATAGAATAAATTAATGAATTAAAAACTTCTGCTCTTCAAAGTTATCCTTAAGAGAAAGAAAAACACAAGCCACAGACTGGGGAAAAAAAATCCGTATAAAGCATGTGTCTGATAAATGATTTGTATACAAAAATGTATAAAGAACTCTCAAAATTCAGTAAGAAAATAGAAAACTCAATTTAAAAACTTGGTAAAAAATTTGAGCAGACACTTCACCAAAGTAGGTAACTGATGACAGATAAGCACATGAAAAGATGCTTAAGATCATTAGCCATTAGGGAAATGCAAATTAAAACAACAATGAGATACCACTACTCACCTATAAGAACGGCTAAAATTAAAAAGACGGATCCTACCAGGTGTTGGTAAGGATGTGGAAAAACTAAACCCTCCTACACAGCTGTGTTTTCCACTTTAGAAAACAGTTTGCCAGTTTCTTAAAAAGTTAAAGGTACACCTACCATGTGATCCAGTGGTTCCATTACTATATATTTATCCAAGAGAAATGAGAACATACGTCCATACAAAGATTGTACACACATATTCATCACAGCTTTATTTGTAATAGGCAAAAGCTGGAAAGAATCCAAATGTTCTTCAACAAGTGAATGGATTAAAAAAAAAAAAAAAACCCTGTGGTACATGCATATGCTACCTAACAATAAAAATGCATGAACTATTGATGCACACACTACAAGGATAAATCTCAAAATAATTAGGCAGAGTGGAAGGAGCCAGACGAAAAAAACAAAAAAATCACATACTTTATGATTCTGTTTATATAACATTCTAGAAACTGCAAACTAATGTGTAGTGTCAGAAAGCATATTAGCAATTGCCTAGGGGTGTGGAGTGGAAGGAAGGAGAAGAGCAGGAGACAGATTACAAAAACGCAGGAGGAAACTTTTAGGAATGCTGAGTATGTTCATTATCTTGATTGTGTGAAGGTTTCACCAGTGTATGCTGTGTCAAAAATTTTGGAATTTTACACTATAAGTAAAAGCTGTTTATTATAGGTCAATTATACCTCAACGAAGCCCTTTTTTAAAACAGATTATTCTGGGGCCAGCCTGGTGGCGTAGTAGTTAAGTTCGCATACTCAGCTTCAGCGGCCTGGGGTTTGCGGGTTCGAATCCTGGGCATGGACCAACGCACTGTTTGTTGAGCCGTGCTGTGGCGGCATCCCATATAAAGTAGAGGAAGACGGGCACGGATGTTAGCCAAGGGCCCAATCTTCCTCAGCAAAAAGAGGAGAATTGGCAACACATGTTAGCTCAGGGCTAATCTTCCTCACACACACAAAAAGGGTTATTTTTCCTTCCAAATTATCATCCTATTGTATTAACTTATATAACTGATTTTACAATTTCGACCAAATATGAGGTAATAGAATGAAGATCTAGTTAGGTGGGGAAGCCAGAAGTTTACTTCATGAGAATGTAAAAGAACACGCTCAAAGCATCAATCATGTTCCTCAGAGAAGTAAAATAAGTCCCAATGAACAGTGTGATAACATTGTGCAATTTAATATCTTCAAATATGCTGTCAAAAATTCAGAAATCAAAGAGAAAGAGAACCACCAGAATAGATGATTCCATTTGTAAGGTGAACATTTAGACTTTTCTTCTTACAGTTCAAAAACACATTCAACAAAATAGCCGCTCTTTTTGGATGCGTGTTAAAACAAACCATTGAGCTCTCGGGTCTTAAAAATGAATTAGCAGATGGGAGTGGAATTGTAAGAGCTTACCTTTCATCTCTTCTGCTGCGTAGTGTCTTTTTCACTGCTTTTTTGATCCACAGCACGTTGACCTGAGTGTCTTCTCCCCTTCCTCTCTTGTGTTGATGTGCCAGATGTATTGTGAAGATCACTGGAGAAATGGTGTTGTCCTTTCCTGCCGGCATCACCAGACACTTTGCCAACAACCCATCGCCAGCAGCTCTGACTTTCCGGGTGATAAATTTCAGCAGGTTAGAACACGTCCTGCCAAATCCCCAGCTGCTCTGCTGGTAAATATATTTTGCACAAATTTTTTAGAGATGTGTGTGGCTTAGCACTTAATACTTAGATGAGGGATAAACCTTAGGAAGAGAGGAGTACTGTAGAGAAATTACCTCTACTCAGATATGTTTGTAGATGCAAACCCAGAACTTTTACCAGCTGTCAAAGTGTTTTGTGGGTGGTTGTGTGTGTATGCACGTATGTATTTTAATTGCAAACTATCTCAAGTGGCTAAAGAGGCATTTAGAGTAATACAATCTGTATTAGTGACAATTTATTCATTGTCTGTTTTACTTATCATCAATAGACAATGGATGAGGATGGTGGGAAATGAGCCCAATAAAAGGAATAAAAGCCATTTGTTGTATTAACATGTTTTTAAATCAAATGATATTTGAACTGTGAACTACTCTTCATGTGAGCTTGAAAATCTATTTTGTGAAACACGTAATTTCATTGTAATGGTAATTGTTTTGATGGAACTTTACATGTATGACATCAAAGATGCCTATGTGAATTTGGTTATGTAAATATGCTTCTTCACGTTTCCTAACTGTTAAATCTGAATATGATTAGGTCTTTATCGTACATATGCCCATGCACATTCACACAAACCTGCACACATGCATGCCAGTAAAAACAATCAATTGTACAAGTTAACTATTTGCAACGGATGAGATGAAGGGAGTTCTTGACAGCTCCTCTCCATCAGCAAGTGCTGATATTCCATCTCTCTAAAAATCTCTCTACAGTGGCCACTTTTCCCCTCCATGGTGACCTCGCTTGTCCAGGTGACGACTGTCATTTCCCTGGACCACCGCAGTGCTTTCCTCCTTCCCTCCTGGTGTCCAAACTTGCCCCCCTCCTACGTTTTTCACACAACGGCCAAATGAGCTTTTACGAGGTAAATCGGGTCGTACTGGCTCATAACCTCTGGTGACTCCACATTGCATCTGGACCAGAACCCAAACTTGTCACCCCTGCCTGTGAGGCCCCAAGCTGTCTGCACCTGCCTGCCTCTCTGTCCTCATCACCCGCCATCCTGCCAGACCTGCCAGACTTCGGAACAGGCTGAGTCCTTCCCCACATCAGGGCTTTATGTGCTTATTTCCTCTGCCTCCAGTACCATTTCCGCCCTTCTCCACCTGACCCCTACTCATCCCTCAGACCTCAGCCCCGCTCAGCCTTCCTGACCATCCCACTGTCCTCTCCACCCCCCAGCCACCATTCCCAAACCAAATTCTATGTCCCCTTGTTATTCTCTCTCAGGTCCCCTATTCTCTCCCTTTGTCACACTTCGTAAATTAGTAACTATACATCTATTTGTGTTTCTTCATCCACCCACCTCCTCACTGGACTGTAAAACCCATGAGGGAATGGAACACATCTATTAGTTCAGCACTGCACCCTCAGGACCTTCCACTGAGCCTGGCATCTAATAAGGACTTGAGTGATATTGTTGAATGAAAGACCAACTCGACTGTAATTTAAAGAATTTAGTCAAGCTGGATATTTATGTAGAAATAAGTAAACGTTGTTGGTATTTGGAATTTGAGGACCAATATAGTCACTCGCTTTCATGACTGAATGAGACGTTTTCATTGCAATGGTAAAAATACAGTCACAGGTCTTTTAGGTGATTACCAAGATCACCTCCTCCTCCTTTTGATGGCTTAACTGGCAAACTTGATTCCAGGTTTAAAAGTGTAAAAGAAATGATTGCCCATTAAACGAAAAATAAGTGTGAAATAATCAAGATTGGAAATCAGCAACTTTTTTGTGTGTGTGTGAGGAAGACCGGCTCTGAGCCAATGTCTACTGCCAATCCTCCTCCTTTTTTACCCCCAAAGCCCCTGTAGATAGTTGTATGTCGTAGTTGCACATCCTTCTAGTTGCTGTATGTGGGACGCGGCCTCAGCATGGCCGGAGAAGCGGTGCGTCAGGGCGCGCCTGGGATCCGAACCCTGGCCGCCAGTAGCGGAGCATGCGCACTTAACCGCTAAGCCACGGGGCCGGCCCCAATCAGCAGCTTCTTATTTCAGTTTCCCTCCGTGTTTTTGATGCACCGTTGAGCCAGTTCCTTTTATGTTTTGAGGTTCCTCCATTTGAAATTAGAAATTATGTGCCACCATCTCACTGGCTTGTTTATAATATGACTGGTGTGATAGTTACAGTTTTTGTTGCATTTTTAGGTGGTTTTGTCGCCACGTTCTTAGGCATATGTGCAAGAGTTTTATACTTACATTAGTATATCAGTCTTACCAATTGAATTAAATATCATTCTGAGAATGTTTTTGATAAAACACTATAGAGACTCATTATTATTTGCTAAAATAAAGAAACAGAAAACAAAAACAAAATATCCTCGTTAATTTATACCTTATTGACTCTAAATACGTGACTGTTGTGTCGGGGCTGGGATTGGTAACCCGTTAGTCATATGGCCTGTCTGGTTGGTTACGCTGTTCTGCTCCACCACCACTGCCACCACCCCTAGTTTTTAAAAGGCAACGTAACCCAGTGTTATTCTCAATTACCATACGAGCCTTTCACATCATCATCTTACCCCCAGCCAGTTCTCTCATTTGTGTTTACTGGAAGACTTCATTTAGGTTAGTAGCTTGGCCCCTGGAGACATTTGGGTTTGCAAGCCCTGTGACAGTGATCAAATTGAAGTTTACTTCTATTTTTCCCTTATAAAAGGGATTTGCTTGTAAAAGATGTTCAGGAACAATTGTTAAACCAATTATGAGACTAAAGAACTCTCAAGACTTCTTGAGCATTCAAAGAATTGCATCTCGGTGTAAGCATTTGATTGGCAAAGCTTTCTGGAATATTTGTTAAAGCAAGTTCTCTGAGGAATTATCGTAGGCATGTGACTCAGCTTATTTTGTTATTAAACTTAGCAAATGCATTTCTTTGAAAAATAGTATGATTGAAATGTTCCCAATTATTCAGATCTACTTAGTACAAATTAATGACATGTTGCTGGATAGAATTCCACACTTCCGTTTTGGCATAGTAAGAAAGTACGACCTGGGCTAAGACTGACCTGGGCTGGAATCCTGACTCTGACTTATTAGCTGTTCAACTTTAAGCAAACAACATAATTTCGCTGACCCACTATTACTCTTATCTCCTGCCTTCTTGTGTAGCTAGAGCTCTGGAAGCTCTGGGTAACTTGGATGCTTTTAGATAATAAAGTTTAGACAGTCCTTATCAGCATCCCTAGCTCAGCTTGACCAGGGTCACAGCCTCAGGGGCCAAGAGTCTTCTCCATCCGCTTCCTACATGCCCAGTCATAGGGCCTTGCTTTGTCCTCAACAACCTCTACCAGGGCACAGCAGAGCCACATGGGCCGTGCAGAGACCCGGCCCCCACAACCCCCCCTCCTGACAGACCAGTAGCAATTTTAAGGTCCTGATGTTTCTGACTCAGCTCTCTGGATCTGTTTGACTTCTGGAGGCTGGATCATAGCGACTTAACATTTGACCTGCCTTTATCGCTTTATCACTGTGACCTAGCTCTCTTCTTAACCTCTAAATTTTCTCTTTTTATAACATTTGCTCATCTTTACAAAGGAAGATTATTCTTCCTTTGCAGGGTAAATTTTAATGAAATAGTTTATAATGTATCTCACAGACTACCTAGCACATAATAAGTGCTCCTAAAATTATAGCTACTATTATTGTATTATATAGAATATTCTGAAAGTGAAATTTCAGTAAACAAATTGTGTGTCAAGTTACTGAGTCACTTGGACCCTCAGTTCCCTCATTATGAGGGAAGTGAGCAGATGCTTTACACACTCTTGCCTGATTCTTTCTGTCATTAAGACAAGCATTTGCAAGATATGTTGGCGAGTGGCCTGTGGACGGCCCTCTGAGCAGAGCTAACTACTGTTACAGGAATGCAGAACTCCTTAGTTCATCAGGACTGACCTTCTCTCCTGTAACTACCATGATCATTGTCATGTAACTCCAGGATCATCTTGTGAGTGAAGTGACTTTTGTCATGATTTAGATGCTCTTAGATGACATTTTGCGAATGCTAGAAAGGTAGTCTTGTCATTTTAGTATCACCCCTTTTTCCTCAGTTGGAGATAAAGACTGTGTTTACAGTTGGACAAATATTTAACTCAGTTTCTGAGAAACCACTGTTCAAGTCAATTTGAAAGAAAATCAATGTACTCAGCTCCTTGATTACATTAACTGACTAATTCAGAGTAAACTGTGGTGATGCAGACAGGGCTATTAAGTTTAGGGTCATAAATAATTTACTCTTTAAAGCAACCAGTTATCATTGTGGTTGGTTAATATTCCCAGGTACTCACTGAGATTTATAGCAATACAGTAATGCCTCCTCACAGGTATTAATCTATTAACATGAGACCATGCAGAACTGCAATTATGCTAAAACCACACCACTGTTAACAATATAATTTCTACAAATTGTCAAAGATGGATATAGAAATAAGATGACAATTTTCTGAGATGTTTCTCAGGTGGTTTATATCTATTATAAGATGCTACTCTATCATTTTTTATTCCCAATTAAATAGCGATAATACCCAAAATGATGCCAATACCAAGGAATTCTGGGTAAATATGCCAAATTTGATGACTCACCTAAAGAAGGTGTCGGAACAAAAACCGCAGGCTACATATTATAACGTGGACATGCTCAAATACCAGGTAAGCCTGTTTATATGGGCAGGGTGTCGCTTTCACATTATAAATATATATTCTAGCATACCTAACATTGAGTAAAAGTACATAAAGTAACATTTCTTTTAATACTATTTAAAAGCTATAATTTATAAGAAAAAGAAACCTTAAAAGACTACTTGGAGACTGCTTGGTGACAGGAATATTCATATGTATCCTTATTAGTTTAAACTTACAAGTAAAATATTTCATCAAAAATTAGAGAAACGTACCATAAAAATGAAGTTGCAGAAAATTACATCAATTAACATTAAAAGTATTGATAAACTAGTTCGCTGTAATTTTGAGCATTACTGTACTCAAACCTCTTATTTTAAATGATTAAATGTAAGTAGTCTGGTGTTTTTTTGTAAAGTGATAGTACTATGAAATAAATTCTAATAAAACTTATGTTAAGAGATAATTTCATCTTAAAATAATGTTTGGTACAACACAATAGAGTCTATGGAACTTCCTTTTTGTGTCTAGGATTGCACTTACCCCAGATTATCACTGATCTAGTAAATAAGCCTGTTTCAATCCTCTATAGAATTCTACAGAGCCTCGGAATTCCATCGATTCCCAGCCACTTGATCTCTGGGGTTATTTTTAATGCATAGTGATTTTTGTGATTAAATATGTGCAAATTATGTTTCTTAGATGAGGAAACTAAATTATTATTGTTTTAAGTTGTACTTTAATAGAAATCAGTGCATCTCAAACATGCCTGTACTTTACAATCATCAGGGAACTTGTAAACAAATGCTGGTTCTGAACCCGTGCTAATTATAGATGAAACAGAGATAGAGATGGAGAGAGAGATGATAGAGATAGATATGGAGATAGAGAAAGAGACAGAGACAGAGACAGAGATAGAGATGATAGAGACAAAGATGTAGATAGAGATAGAGACAGAGACAGAGACAGAGACAGAGGTAATCTCCTGGACCCTGACACTCCCAAAGATTTTGACTTAATTGGTTCAGGTTATGACTCAGGTATCTGTATTTTTTACAAGTTCTCCAAGTGATCATAATGCACCCTACGAGTTGAAAACCACTTATTTCTATTGTTATAAGGAAATATTGAAAGTGAAGTATCTATGTGATGGCACATTTTACAAAAATACAAATGAATATGTTTTTCCTATGAGAATAGTATCATCTAAACTTTGGACCTTCTTGATAATAGTGAACAAACATATGATACGACAGAAATTCATCACTTTTATAATTAAAATATAATAAAAAAATACATTTTTATTTAACTTTTTTTTTTCAAAACATTTAAACACACTTAGTGACCGTTTTAAGCTTCTGAGAGAAATAGGAAGGAGTAGGACAAGGAAACTCCAATGTAATTTTTCCGTGAATGAGAAGTTAAATTTCGGGGCCCATGCATGGTTCTTGTGTCCAAAAAGGTAAAACTAAAACTAGTTGTTTTCTTTCATGAACTTTCATTGAAAACACTGCATCTGCATTTTCACTTCAGATTAAACATTTTTTTGAAGTTTTAAATCCTGTGCGATTTTTCTTAGTCTCCATAGTTGTTACTAAGTGAACCTAGAAAGTGGATGGAATGCACCTGTCACGATACGAGCCTGATGTCAGGTATGGAAGTGTAGGCAGGACGCTGGATTCTGGAGCAAAGTCAGCTGCCTCCTGGCCACTGACCGTGGGCACCTACCCTCCCTGAACCTCAGTTTCCTCACCTGCAAATAAGCGTAAGAATGATCCCCACCTAGATGTGTTGTAGGTGGTTGTGAGGAGCTAGGAGCCTAACAGATTTCCAAGCACTTTGTGAAATGTAAGTAACCCCAGGCCTGTCGTTTTGTTTTCAAGTGTGCTCTGAGGAATCCCTTTCTCGGCTTTTAGTGGTGGTGTTATTTTCAACAATGCAAGGAATTGGGTGGGAGGCACAACTAGCAGTTTTGTGGGATTGCCCTTAAATGGCAGCATGTTTGGTTTCTGGCCACCAGTGGCATCCCCCAGGCATTGGGACGATCAGAAACACACCCTCACACTTCCAGAAAGCACCTAATTGGGTAGAGGGACTGCTCTCAAGTAGAGAGCTCCTGCTGAGGATGAAGTGTAGAGACAGGGCTGGGAGGGCGGGGCTGCTCTGCCTGCGAGCAATCTCCCGTAACAGATTTCTACATAAAAGTTTATTTGCAGAGGATTGTACTGCTAAAAATATTTAAAGTTTAAAAACTGTTATAATGGCTATGTAAAATTGTCATTAAAAGCCCTGTCATTTTATTAAAAAATTCAGTTCCAGGCTTGTTTCTGCAGCAACCACCCCTGCCTTGTGAGCACATCCTGCGCTCAGGCCCTGCTCCATGGCGTCCATATGTGCAGGCATTGCTTGGCCAGTAGAGATCTGTTTATAGTCTTCAAAATCAGCAAAGGTCATACTCCATGACTAAAACCACACGGCCCCTGCAGTGTGCGTGGACTTGTAGAAGGAGAGTCTCCTAGAGCTAGTCATCGTCACAGTGAACGATAGAGATATAGTAGCACTGAATTTTTCATTGTGGACCCAGAACTCATTGATATTATTGTCTTTAGATCAGATAATTTTTATTGATTCTTCAAACCTGGCTTTTCCTTAGTCAAACTCACAATTGATTCTAACTAGAATTGACAGCAGAGAGTAGACTGCAGCATTCCAGTTAGGGGACCTGGGTTCAAGTCCTTACTTTGGCAAATCCCAAAGGAGTAATAGTAATCTGCTTTGACTAACTCACTGGTTTGTTGTGAAGAGCAAATATGATAAAACTATTAATAGGTAATGCACATTAAAACGTTAATTCCTTACTATGTGCCAGGCACTATGCTGAGCGTTTCACATAAAACATCTCCGTCCATCTTCCTGACAACTCTATGGGTAAGTATTACTGTTAGAATTCCCATTTGGCAGTTGAGGAAATAACTCAGAGAGGTTTAGTGACTGGTCCAAGATCGCTCAGCTTATAAGTGACGATCAGAACTCACGCCAGGACTGTCTAATGCGTTGGCCTCAGCTCCTAACCAGGGCGCTACCACCTCCCTAACTGACATAAAGGGCATTGTAAACTCTAAAGTGCCCTAGAGATTTTGGTAATTGATTTTACATTTTTCACCTGTAACAGTTTACCTGAAGCACCCGGCTCTCCCTCACGTGACCCCTTCACGGTGATTTTCACTGAGAGCTCATTTGCAAGCAGCAAACAACATAATGACTTTTTGATATCGAAGTACCTTCCTATGGGAGATCATCATAGCTTCTGGTTTTGTTTCAGATTAACAATCGAGCCTAAAATATTCTCTTTCCTGTTGTTTGGCAAGGTGTCTGCCCAGGGGATTCAGTCCACGCCTCTGAACCTGGCCGTGAACTGGCGATGTGAGCCGTCCAGCACGGACCTGCGCATAGATTACAAATACAACACGGATGCGATGACAACCGCGGTGGCCCTCAACAACGTGCAGTTCCTGGTCCCCATCGATGGAGGAGTAACCAAACTCCAGGCCGTGCTCCCACCAGCAGTCTGGTAAGGAGTCCCCGGTCCCCTCCCTCTTCACCAAAGGGCTCCTTTGGGGCAAAGGGATCACAGGCTTCTTAGCATCTGTGTTTCCCACAGCAGGAGATCACAGCAGGCCTGTGTGTCAGGGTTCAGGGCAGGAAACAGAAACCACTGTAGCTGTTTTAAGCAGAAAATGATTCAACACAGGGATTTCTATGCTCACACAGCACTCATGAAAGTGCGGGAGGAATCAGCTTTAGGCTGGATCCCAGAACACTGCAGAACTGGTCCCCCAGGGGGGCTGCTGCCTCTGCCACAGCCAAGAAGGGGAGAAGTTAGAAGGCTGCCAGTGGAGCCACTGAATTCAAGAACCCAGCACTGCCACACTGCTGCGGGGATGAGAAAGCTCCTACTGGCACTGCCTCAGCTGCTTCTCAGCACCCACAAATCTGGGGACTGGACTGGAGCCCTGTGGTTAGAAGACGCCTACATCTCGGGTCGCTGCCAGCGAAAGCAGCAGCAGAATGGCCTCTGCCTCCTCTCTCTCGTCCATATCTCAAGCGGTGTATGTAGTTGGTGCAGCGTAATCTGCATCTAGGACCCTAACTACAGGGGAGTCTGAGAAATGTAAGGATTTGTTTTGTGGCCTCTGGACCATAAAATGGCACACTAGAGAAGGTATGGGAACAGAAACGGAATAGACACTGAGTACCAATAGCAGCTGTTAAAGAGAGCTTATTTTCCTAGAAAAAATACTCTAGTTTTTCCAGATGATTGTCAGAAGCAAAAAAGCAGAACACATACACACACACACAAGTCAGCCATACGACAGCGCCAATTTAAATTACCTGAGTTAATTGATTAACTAACACATCTATTTTTTCAGTAGATGTGTTAAAAAAAAAATTTAACTGCATTTTCCTCTAAATGTTTATCTATCTGACAGGGTTGTGGCTAGTTACAATAAGGAATGGGAAAGGAGAGAATTTATGTGTGGATGGATAGATGGATGGATGGATGGATAGATAGATATATAGTAGATAAATAGATAAATAATGCTGAAATTATAGCTATAATTTTCAAGATCAATTTTTTTAAATTAACACTATCTGGAAAAATTATGGCATCCATTAAGCAAAAATCCTTGCATATGCAAAAGTCTTTTACCTATTTTATTTTTAGGAATGCTGAACAACAAAGAATATTGTGGAAGATTCCCGATATTTCTCAGAAGTCAGAAAATGGAGGTAATGTAATCACAGTCTTCTTTTATTTAATATATAAAGCAGAAATAACTTTCAGGTATTGAAAACTGTTAACCAAAATACACTTAGCCCTAAAAGCAAGAAAAATATTTCACCTCATTTTGGTATATACTTATTTCAACCAATAAAAGCAAATAATTCTTCAATGAACCCTCTGCTTCCCCTGTTCTGCCCAACACCCCACGTCAAGCAGACCTTGCTTAAAGCAAAGAAGAGCATTTAATGAGGCATGTTTCCATTCTGGGTCACGTCTCACACTCCCTGATAGTTGAGATGTTTTTCACTTTCCTCTGATCTTAATCATAGGTTGGAAAAGACATTGCCTTGCAAGTAGCATGCTCCCAAATTTTGAAGTACCATTTGGCTGACTTACACTTCCATCAGTGTACAGAGTTGCTCATCATATTTAATGATAAATTTTATTCATCACCATTTTGTCACTGAAACATACACTATTTTCTAGTAAGTTAGTTTTTGTATGTTAACTTTTGAATACAATTTTCAAAATTATATCCAGAATGTGATGTTGACTATTATCTTGTAATACTCTTTTTATAGGGGTGGGTTCTTTATTGGCAAGATTTCAGTTATGTGAAGGCCCAAGCAAACCTTCCCCATTGGTTGTGCAGTTCACAAGTGAAGGAAGCACCCTTTCTGGCTGTGACATTGAACTTGTTGGAGCAGGTTATCGATTTTCACTCATCAAGAAAAGGTTTGCTGCAGGTAAGTAGGTATCCTGTGAATTTCTTTTGCAAAAGTAATATTGCCTTAGCTACTCTTCCTTAAGAAGAAATAGGTTGGGATTTTCTCATCTTCTTCCTCCTCCTCTTCCTCACTCCTAACCCCATTTCCCATCCCAGTTAGAGAGCAAACCAATTGTTGAATGAAGTAAAAGTAGGAGAGTGAACTAGAAATCAGAAATTAGGAAGGCCCTGGCTACTTATCATGGCTCTGGCTCTGCTTCCTATACAGGGCTGACCAGTCATTCCTAGTATATAGATGTGTACACTGACATTAATGGCGTAAATCCTACTTTTTCTATGTTGACAAACAAGATAAATGCTGTTTGTCTTTGAATTCATCTCTTACCTGAAAACTTTTTTTCTCCAACAGGACCTCATAGATTTTAGACTTGTCAGGCTTAGCTGAGATCTGAGAGGATCCATCTTTCAGTTTAAAGAATCTAGGCCAGAGATCGGAACGGGTTGCCCATGAGCTGAACGTAGTCACGAGACAGGGTTTTGGTTCACACGCTAGTTGGCTGGTGGGGGATTCCCCAAAACTAGGTGATTATACTTATCAATGATTTGTTGGGATGAGTCCTGGTTTTTATGCCTGCTGTACTGATGTAATTATTAATTATACCCTTCTCACTTTCAAAAATGACCCAGTTTGGAAAGTAATTGTATGGTCACTCTTCCTATAACAAATTGGATTCTCACATCCAGGAACAAATCTCCCACCCTATTCTGGGCAAACCCAAACCTCTGCAAAGTGTTCATATCTGGAAATGCGAAAAGGAGACCAGCTGGTCTGGAAAATTGAAAACTTAAAAGACCTGACCCCTAATTTATATTAGTATTGCAGCCCTCAAGTATGCAGTATTTGGCTTCTGGGGCAGGGCAGGAAGGATAGAAATGTTACCCCTATAGTAATCACATTATGGAACTAGCAGGTAACCAGTTGATATATTGTTTTATTTTGCAGGAAAATATTTGGCAGATAACTAATAAAACCTTATGCAAGGATTTGGAGGATTTGTATGATGGAGAACTGTTGTATGAGAAACAGGTTTTAATTTTGGTTTGATGAAAACAAACCAAAATCTGCACTTGGGATATATCTGCTGGAAACATCAGTAACTTTCAGCAACGACTTCCCTCACATGATCCAGTGATGACCAGTCCTACAGTATTTACTTCTAGGTGTAATATTGTTAATGGTTTTAAAATGTAATTATTGTATTTGTAAATTGTACTCACTTCAGTAAGGCAGTTACACACTCGAGTTTTAGCATTTTACCATTCCTGAAATGGATGTAATTTAAACTGTGGTATGTAAATTTAATAGTAGTACTGTTGAATGGCACAGTGCTTACAGAGGTAGATTGCATTTTGTCAATATACAAAATTTAAATATAATATGGATAGATGTCATAAAGGGGGTGCCACATATGAAGAAAATTAAGTGGAACCAGAAAAAACTTCCTTTTCTTTAGTCCTTAGTATGTTTTACTCTAGTGCTAAATAAAAATTCTATCTTCAAATGTTTAGTGGGTTAAATTCAGAAACTATTTCAGAAAAAAAAATTCTAAGGTTACAGCATATTCAAAGAAAAGCATTATCACTTTTTAAAAAGCTTTTTTTTCAAACTGCAAATTTCATAAAATGCAAACTGTGTAAACAAGGCCTCTTATTTTTATAACTTGTGTAAAAAGGGAAAGCAATTCATATTTAAAGTTTAAGTATATGAAATTATAATCAAGAGTAAAGAAGATATTGAAGTTTTAATTACTTTCCCCTCTCTCTACAGTTTAGGAAATGTGGAGATTGCTGAATAATTAGTCAGGCTGAAACCAAAATTGCGATTTTAAAATAAATTTCAAGACTTTTCATCGTTGAACTGGTTAACAGCTTTTGCACAATTACTCTAAACAGAGAGTCTCTCCCATCTAGCATGGAGAATGGTACCAAGGATCTTCTTCGTTACTCATAAAAATCAAAACATTGAGACTAAAAATCTCAGAAGAAATATTTTAGTGCCCTGTTTAAATCCAGAAGGAGAATTTTAATCGCCATCATTTATGTCATTTGGGAAGGAAGAAAATAAGCTTTATAAATGAAATTCTATCCACATTATTGTGCAATAAATTTCCTTTTGGATAAGATTCATTGTATGTAACTATAAATCTTTGCCATTCTTGGGGAATCCAAAAGAGAGTTATCAAAAATTTGTGTCATGATTTCATTGTTGCAAGGTATAATAAACACTGTAATAACTCAGTCTGGCCTCATAATCTGGGCATTCAGAACAGAGAAGCAGCTCGTCAGGGGTCCCAGTCGTAAAACCTTTCTCTGTTACCATCTGAAAACACGAATCTTCCTTTGAGTCACAGAACTTATTTTAAACATAAACGAATTATTGTCTTAGGTTATACTATTAAAGAACTGTAATTACTAAGTTGTTATATTTATCATTAGTTGCTAAATTTTATTTTACGTTCACTCATATTCGACAAAGAATCTTTAGCTCCTTTAAATTTTAGAATCAAATTAAATTTTGTAAGTCTTACTTTTAAAATGAGGTTGTGACTGGCAATTGTTTATAGTGGAACTTTTTAAATTAATATTTGTACTTCTCAGTCAGTGCTTGCAACCAAGAGAGCGTTCAAAGTGATCTGTTTTACCTTAGGAGAACTCTTACTATTCAAACTCTCAATTGGCTCAGTCTGGTGTGGAAGTTTTTTGAACAAATAATTAATATACTCATTTTAAGTAAAGATATTCAATTTGATTTTGAAACCAACATAGAAAAGGCAAACTTTTAAATCCCATGAAACATGGGGAATTTATTTCAAACACTGAAACCAATGGAGAGTATGCTGCAGAAAATTGAGAATTATCCATCATTTGAAAATAAATTGTGTTTTTAAGTAATCAATTCATGAAAAAACATATTGAGTATTAACACAAAGATATTAAAAATGTGTAAATATTACTGGTTCTCATGTCTTGCTCTTTATATTTTATTATATTTTATATAGTTCTAGAGTGAATTAGTAATTAAACACAAGAGTTTTTTTCCCCAAAGAATTATTTTGTTGGCAGTGTAAAAATGTAATTTAAAACATAGATTACAATAATCTCTAACATTATTCAAATGTTTCCAGGAACTAAATTTGAAGCTATGAAGATATCTATGATCCCTTAATTGATCTTTGTGAAACAGAATGGAAGTCAGTGCTTTCAAAATTATTAGACTTTGAATAACTAGGACCTCTATAGAGAATATATCCCTTCTCCTTTCATAAAATAAGTCAAATAATAACACAATAAACTCATATCAGGGATTTAGATTTTGGTGGGTTTTTTTCAGTCTTGTAGTTTATCATCTCCTGTTACATGTGTATCCACAGTACTGTACAATAAGAATTCATGTTAGGAAAAATGATCCTAGACAATGCAAGAGTCTCATTTGTAAAAGAAACATTAAACCGGGTTCATCATCAATTCCTAAAACAGAACAAAATGGGCTAGTACATATTCAGATTTTCAATACCAGGGTTTAAAACAAAAAGAACGGGTTCTCGTTAACCAGAACACAATTTCCTGAGCATTATGATTAAAAAAGGTTCTGCTCTACCAAGATAGAAGGTATGAATGATACTACTTTATTCTGGCAACATGGGAAGTATGTTTTTCTTTTCAAATAAATTCCATATTTTCTTGATATTTTTAAAAATAAATTCTTATTAAGAATTAGTCTGAATGTTATCATAATTGGGATTTATAATTCCTAAGAATTAAATTTTAAATTATTTTTAAAGCTCTATTCTTTCTCTACACCTACAGCCAAAATGAAAATTCACCGTATGGTATTTTGGAATGTATTTCACCTGTCCACAGAATGTCCACATTTCAAATGGTTTCAAGTGAATAGAGAGAAACCCCCCAGAAAATCAAACTATAGATGTTTTATTTTTGTTTGTTTGCATTTTTACTCAGTCTCAATCTGAAAAGTGTTTGAGGCCATAATTATACATATTTGCATTTCTAAATCTTCTTTTCAAAGAAGCCTGGTAACCACATTAGCTCTCCCATGACCTCCTGCTGTGAGACCTTGGACAAGTCACTGCCCTTTTCAGTTTCTTATCTTTAGAATGAGGGTTGGGGATTGCCAATGGTTTTCAAGTTTTTCTTTACAGCAAGACTTTTTTCTACTAAAATTGTACATGGATTCCTGTTAGGCAAAACAGCTCAAAGCAATGAAGGGAGTTCCTCCAGCAGTTTAAATCTACCCCCCCTTCCCCCCCAGAACACTGTTTAAACACCATAATGACACGTCAATGGTCTGTAAAGTTTCTTCCACCTCTGAAGTCCCATGATTCTACTTGATTTATATCCACCCTCGGGGGCTTTACAAGAAAATTTGTACAATCACAGTAATTGGCTGACGTGCAGTAAAAATTGATAGTTACTTGGGTGTTTACTATGTACCAGTCACTATAGATGTTAGGTCATTGAATCCTTATATCAGCCCAAAAGTTGTAGGTACTCTTTTTCATTCCTATTTTACAAATGGCGACATTGAGGCTTAGACAAATTAATTTGCCCAAAGTGACACAGCAGCTGGAAGTAACCCAATTATCTCAACTGCAGAGGGAGACCTTGACCTGTTTTGCTTGTTCATTCTGGGAAATAAAGTCTTCTGTTTTATTTCACTATACACATTCCATTTCAATACCAGGGTAAAAGGTACTATGAAAAAGTAGTATCAAAATAAGAATAATTGCAATAGCAGAATTGTTGGGAAAGAATGTTCCTCAAAGCATGATTTGTGAACCACTTATATTATCATTTATTTAAAAAAAGTAATGATTTTGGCTTAGTCACCACTGTATCCCCAGAGCCTAGAAGATAGTAGACATCAATAAACTTATATTGCATGAATAAGTCTCTAGGGATGGGGTTTAGGAATATGTATTTGGACAAGCCCCCCAAATTTGAGACTCGCTGTCCTACTAGAACTCTCCAGGTCCTTCTTAGTTCTGACATTATATCAGATTTTAAACATTAAACGGTAAATTGAATACCATTTTTCTAATGAGTTTGTTTTTTCATTCATTCCATTTAATTCTCTCCAAGCTTAAAAAAGAGAGAGAGGGCTTTGTCTAGGAAAATCCTATCTTTTCCTTAGAGTTCTCCTGTTACGCTATCTCAGTCTCAAAGTGGCCTGAAATGCATTCTCTCCTTTTCATATTTCTGTCCTTTTCGTGAATGTCATAAAAGATTAAAAGAAGCAGTAGGGAGGTTGCAAGCTGTCACTCATTCCAAATACAAAGTCCTAATAAACGTCTCCCGCCTTGCGAGGGACACTCAGACATCTAATTCGTGAGTTGACCCTGTCCATTTTGTAAGCCCTTGATTGCACACTTTACGGGCATGGACTCATATCATTCCAAAAGAGTTGCACCAATCATGTTTATTTTTGATTTTTTTTTCGGCCCAAAATAATCACAGGCTGTCAATATGTTGAATGACACAGTAAAATGTGCAGCTATCTACTAAAGAGATGAGTTTGTGGGGTTTTTTTTTTAAGCTTTCTTTTTCCCAAAAGATTATGCATTTGAGCAAAGTCTCATTCAATCTAAATGCACTCATTTTGCTACATGGTTTTCTGATGAGCATTTTTTTTAATGGAAGCATAATTTTTTTATGATATCAAAATGAGGATGATCTCTAAATATTGCTTTAGAAGTTAATATAAATAAACATGATGTTTCCTTGAAATGAGTCAAATTAATTTGTCGATGTGAATGAACAAATCAGTCCATGTCACATTGATTAAAGAGACAGTTCTGATGGCCCACCCACCTCCTTTTACTGGGTGCACTTCTCTCTGGAGGCCTCACTGTATCTTCCTGCTCCTTTCCCTTTTTCTTATTTGGCAAAGAGCATACAAAAGCCACTCACTCACTCACAAATTAAACATGGTGACTTTTTGTGCATGGAATGTAGGGAGGAAAAATGAAGTGGAAGTACAGTGTTTACGTCTCCAAATGTTAAAAACAAACAACAACAACAAACCCACTAGTCCTTCTCTTGTGTCATAGCTTTGATGTTATATCATCTTCTATAGGCTAGAGTTGCATTTTTAATACCTAATTGAAATCTAAATACCCTTTTTTGAAAGAATGTCAAATTTTAGGGTCTGTTGTGTTGACCGTGGTCAAACCTCTAGATTGTCCTTTGTGTATAATATCTGATTTCTATCCTACGTGAGTGTTCCTATGGGAGAAAGCACCTCCTTGTTGACGTCCACCACGGGTATAGTAATTTATTCTCCAGGTTACTTTCTAACGTTATTTTTCCTTTGATTTGTAGTATTTCTGATTGCCTCCTTCTATCCCTAGGGTAGTACATTGCCTGTTCTAAACACATCTTTAACCCTATGAGAAAAGATGTTTTGATGAAAAGCAAATATATTTTCATGTGTCCCTTGACATCTAAAAGAAACTAGTAAAGGATACTCTTACTGTATTCACCTATATTCCAGTATCTTCCAAGTCATATTCAGATCCACTGGTTCTGGCAAATGTTCATTGTGGTCTGAAAATAAATGATTCTATACCATAGTCCCCATTTCTTGGACATTGATAATAAATGTTAATGTTTTAATGAAGCTTAAGAAAATTATTGGACCAGGAAAACACTTTTTTTTTCTAAACACACCTTGAAGAAATTTTAGAAAAATTTTCTTTTAACACCAGTTTACATATCTTTCAACAACTGCAAATAATATAACCAGGAATGCTTTGAAAACATTCTTCTGGGTTTTTGTTTTAACTTTAAGGGAAATTCCTGCCATTTCAAATGAATTAGTATCTACTTTAAATTTCATTAGTATGTCTTAGTGAATTTTATTTTGTCACCTAAAATATTCAAATCAAGTCAATGAAATTGTTTTAATATTTTTATTTTTTTAAGTATTATCTTTAAGATCTGCACCTAAGACCAGCACATCAGGCTATTTGTTGAAATAGTACAAATTCTTTGCAGAGTGGAATTAATGCTAGCAATATTTGTAATACTTGGTAATATTTGGTTATACTTTATTAAACAGCTTTGAGAAATTGAATCATGGTAGACCAATGCTGAGAGTATTTTTACATAATCTTGTTAGAAATTATATAAAAAACAATTTGGTTAAAGCTAAGGGGAATGCACTATTTAGCACAGATTTTATGAGACTCTACACTCTATTAATGAGCACTTTGCCGTTCTTATTTGCTTTGCTTTATTTTGCAAATCAATTGTCTTTACACAAAATCAACAAAGTTCCTTTAATAAATTCCTGGGTAAACTATCTGTTATCAGACAGAAAAGAGTAAAGCTGAATCATTTTACATTTCTCTAAGTATAGTTCCATTTTTAATTCATTCAAAGTTTGTGAGTCAGCTTGATAGATCATAAGCTATACGTCATTTTAAAATATTCCATTGATTGAGTATATCAGGCAAATGTTAATTCCATCTCACTTGTTTAGTTGTATGTATATTACTTCATTGACATTTTCTTTTCTTTTTGGGGGGGGAGAGGGGCAAAACAAGTGCTTAGTGTTATACACACATCATTACTTCAAGCTATTTTAAATAATACACCAAATGACTGTCTCCAGGATCATTGTCCCAAGGTCCAAAGCCAGATTTTTTCTTTTTCTTAGGAGATGCTAGGATGATCATTCTTATAACTGTGTTGATTTGCAGGTCATTATTTAGTTCTTGCTTTGTTAAATGAATACGCATGAAAGAGATTGGCTCCTGTCTGATCCCTCTCTCTCTCTCTCTGTCTCTCTCTCAATCTAAAGGAGTTGGAAAATTGCTGCTGGATAATTTTTCTTGAAAAAAACCAAGTGTTGGTGTGATGATAAGCTGATCTTATCCATGAGCAGGGCTTCACTACAGGCCGAGCAATAATTTATAGAGCTGGCTTCTTAAACCGTTTGAATATTATTGGGTTTCAATAAAAGAACTTTTTTAAAATTTTCACTTCGTATAGGAAAAGATCTCTATGAATGAAATGATCAAATTTTAATTTTCATGCCTACTAAGCGGCAATGTAAGGCATTAATTTTTTTTTTTTTTGTACTTTTACAACAGGGGCAACTAGAAAAAGAATCTCAGAGAAATTTTGCTGTGTTTCTAAATGTGATAAAATTCAATCAGTTGGCTTTCTTAAGGAGAATGCTGTTAGTTTTCTTTTTAATTTGAGTTGGTGGTAGCCTTTGTCTAGAAATCTCCATGATCTTTGTAGCAAAAGTAAACTGAATTTCTTTATGACCTTGTATGGAGTATATAATTTCACAAAATACCTTGGGCATAAAATATTTATAAAAGGAATTATGGGTTAAAATACTTAAGTATACTTTTCAAATTTAGGTAAAATGTTGATGCCTGGCATTTTTCCTACATGTGTAATTCAACAGAGAACGCTTTATTCTCACAGCCGTTACTGCTGTGTCTGTGATGAAAGCCTCACTGCTTCCGTGCTGTGCTCAAGAGCAATCCAGCTGTAGAGGCCAATGCTTGCTCCTTCACAGAACTGCGGCAAAGCTGTCTGCTGAGCAATGGTGATGTGAACGTGTGGTAGTGACTTGTTGAAGATAATCATGGAACGTTTTAACGTTACTTGCCTTATAAGTTAGAAAAGGTGTGGATATCATTTTTTTGTAAATAATGATTTTGACAAATGTTTTTTCCTTCATAACTTTCCCAATCACTCATTTCACAAACTCCTGGATATGCAATTGTTTATCATGCAGCATTACTGCAACAAGAGTTCCCGTTTCAGAACAAAGTTTAATTATACGTGAGAACAAGATGAAATATCTAAGTTGTTATTCAAATGTGATTTTTTTTTCTGTAAAATAAATGAAAAACATGAAAATAAATTGAATTGTGAATCTCTTTTATTACTAGCTCTCTTACAATTTTACCCACATTTCTGGAAAACTTCATTGCATGTTCAGGGTGGGGAAGTGGGCAAAGCTCTTGGGAGTGCAAGGACTTTCCAGTCAGACAATCCCAGCTCTAGAATCTGACTGTAGAGGTGAGCATGTTCTTCAATGATTGTTCAGTTTCCTTATCTCAAAAAAAATGAAGCTAATGCCCCCTTATCATAGGGCCATTGAACAGGTTAAATGAGAGAATATTATCAGTCACCCAACAGTTCCAACCTAGTGCATAGTAGATATTCAGTAAACAATCCTTTCCTGTCTTATCTTTCTGTGAACAGGGATTGGGATGGGCCAGAAAACTTGAATGCTCTCTCTCCAACGCTATCCTCACCCTCTTAGGTTCTGCTGTTATGCCGCTGTATCTTGCCAGCGGACGACGAGGCATCAGGGGCCCCGCGCCGGGCGCTCTCGCCTCTCTCTCTGCCTCCAGGCCTCGCTCACTGGAGGGGCCTAGGGGTGTGGTTTTGTGTGCTTCGGGTTGCGGGAAGGGCTCAGAGCTTAAAAGGGGGGTAATTATTAAGCAGGAAGGGCCTATTAACTGTGTCAGTAGATCCTCGACCCCAAACAGCCTCCTTTTCAAACCTTCTGAAACTTTTACGGGCTGGGAAGAGGGGCGTTACGGAAAATGAAGAAGCCCATTTGAAACGCACAGGAGATAAACCCATGAGCTCCAGCGGCCCTCGGCATATTACTTAAGATCTTAGACTCTCAATTTCTAAATCTGTAGAGGTGGAACGACCCTTCCCTGACGGGGTTGTTGGGCCTAAAACCGTGTGCCAGTGTCCGGTCGATGTGCACTCTCAGTAATCACCCCCTTCTCAACCCTGCGCGCCTCGCAGGGGCGGGGACGCGGCGTCGGGGGTCGGGGAAGGCAAGGGAAGGGGCTCTTTACTTTCTCTCGGTGCCTCGGCTGTCCCGTCCGGGAAAGCGCCGCCTTTCCCACCCCTGCCCCTGACGCCTGCGGGAAAAGACGCTGAATGAGGGCCCTCCGGGCTGCGTCTTGAGTCCCAGATACCCTCCTCGCTCCACGATGAACCGGTTCCCCTCCAGCCCGCGGCCGCCGCAGGGCGCGGCGGGGCTCCGGGCGGCCCCCTCTGAGCAGGGACGATGAGATCTTTACATCCTTAGGGCGGTTCAGAGGACCACGCAGCTACTGTGTCCGGCCGGGGCTGGCCGAGGACTTTGTTTGAGGAGGTCACCCTGGAGACGGGCCGCGGAGTCCAGGGCGGGTGTGCCGGCGGCCACAGGCAGAGGCAGGCCTGGGAGCCGGGAGCCACGCCCCGCGTGGTCCCGCAGTGGACGAGCCCGAGGTCAGGGAGGCCCCCGGCCGAGCCGGCAGCACCAGCCCTGCTGTGGGTAAGTGCGCCCTCTCCGCAGCGCCTCGGGGTGGGAGGGGAGAAGAGAGAGGGTCCCCGGGCTTGAAGCCGGAGGGGCCACGTGTTGAGAAGTAGCCTGCCTTGGCCTCGACTTCTCTGACGCCTTGCAACTCCTCCTTCCCCCAACAAATAAAAAGTGGCCCCCAATTTGGGAACTGGAAATGGATCCTGGCCTGTGCCCCCCACCTCCACCCCTGCCTGCGTGTCTGGGCTTCAGGGTGATGGAGTCCTGAGCCGTCTTCCTGAGGCCCCCTGGCGTCGCCTGGCGGCAGCATCCCCCCAGGACCTCAGGTGGCAACGCTGGCCCGCCGGCCAGCTCCGGAAACAGGTGAGCTGGCTGAGGTCCGTCTGTGTCACTTTAGAGCAGAACCTAAATGAGCCACTTAATCAGGCTCAGTGTGTCCTGAGACATACGTAGACACATACAGACACACTTCTGTACACAGACACACACACTCATACACATACAAGTTCACACATTCAGTACACGGACATATCGCACCCAAAGGCGCACACACAGACACACAGAAAGGCACACACTCGGGTACACAGATAATCACGCATACACACAGGTGCACACACAGGGATGCTCACACCGATACACACATTCGTGTGCACAGACCCGCTCACTCATACTCACGGCCTCACACACTCATGGGGACTCCCTTGTGCTCATACACACAGGGACGTGCCCACAGCGTGATAACACACTCCCAGGCACACACTCACACACTCCACAGTGCCCCCTTCCTAACACACGATGCCTCTGCCGTCTCGGTGTGCCCTCCTAACCCCTTCCCTCTCTCTGCCCTGACACGGATCACACTGGGGTTGTAGGTGGTGTTCCTGTCTGCCCTTCCCACCCGACCGCCAGCTCTTCCAAGGCAGGGACTCGCTTTTAGTTCTATGTATTTGTGTCTAGCCCAGTGTCTCCCCGCTAGGACTCGCAGATTTACAGATTATCAAATCATTTAAACGAATCTCTAACTGTGTATGTAGGCAGTAGCATTATCGTCCAAGTTCTGGGAAGTCCGTTCCTACTGCCAGCTTCCTCACAAGCATTTACGAGAAGGAAGTAGGTTTTCCAATAAATTACTTCGTTAAAAGTTACCTTATTTGCTCTTTACAAAATAAATCACTGTGGCTTGAAAAAACTACCCTTTGGGGAAGACAGTTAATTTTAATTTTTAAAGTAACAGCAGCAACAACAAACATTCATTAGCAAACTTTTATCAAGATTAGATTTAGGGGAGGCAATAAAAAATATTGCTTGCTAGTGTGGGACAGTATCTTTCTTCTGCACACGGCTATCTTTTCCGGGTGCCTTTAACCTCCTCTACAGTTAAGCATTTTTGCTGTAGCTTAACGTCTGCTTGTGTGAATTAAGTACACTATGGCACAAATGGAAGTTATCAGTTATCATATTTCCAATTATACTGACGAGAATAACAACATATACTCAATACCGCTCTTAGGGAAACCTCGCTTCTCCATTCAAATATAGTGGGAAAAGTATGAGTGTACTTTATTTAGAATGAGGCTCGGTGTTATACTAGAGTGTTTTCAGATCTTTCCTTTGCCGTTTCACAAGTTTTCTTCCGTGGGTTATGATGACGTCAGACCTCGCCCAAGACAGAGCGGCTGGTTCCCTGAGGCAGAGGGCGAGCGGGGCCTCGCTGGGCGGCCGCGAATTCCGGCAGAAGGGACCTCGCAGGCGCCCCAAAGAGTGAGTCCCCCAATGTCTAAGGACTTCAAGTCAATTATTGAAGAAACAGGTTCGTGACGTATATCAGGAGGAAAAAAATTTCCTTTGGGACATAAAAAGGGAGAAAATGGGCAAGTAAAAGGTTCCGGACACCTTTTGGGGCCATATTTAAAAAAAAAAAGAGAAAGAGGGTGAGAAAGCTTCAGTGATATGTTGATGCCGGCGGCATTTTTTTACCATTTCAAAGACTACGCAAAAAATCATCTGCTCAAAAGAAGCGCTGTATGCGGTGCAGACTAGCGGCTTCTTACATGTCTCCTGAATTCTTCTCCTCGATGTTGTATAAATACACAGTTTTCGCAATTTTGTAATGAATGTATACATATACAATGCATTTAACATTACTTTATACAAATTGTGTGATGTATTTTCATAGTCTTTGTTCATATCCTTTTAAATGGCTGCATAATATTTAGTCAGTTTATAATTCTGCGTTTGTTAACCATTCCCCAATTATGGGGCATTTTAAGTTTGTTTCCACTTTTTTTCTTTTTCACTCTATAGTAAGTCTCTGTTGTCTTCCCAGAAGTCAAAGGGTAATAAGTACATGTTTGGCTCTTGCTATGTATTCATTTGCTCTCCTAAAGAGAGGAATCAATTTTTAATCCTTTCATGGCATTCTTTTTGACTGCCATTGGGAAGAAAACAAAACAAATTATCCGATGCAGAGGTCCATTAACTTATAAATAGACTTTCCTCTTACCAGTTTCCACGGGGTTGAAGGATGTGGCGTATTAATCCCCGAGGTTGGGAAGCGGGAGCTGATGTGTCCTGTGCAACAGACACCAGACGAACTGCAGTAGATTTACATTCGAGTTCTGACGCCAAACCTTTCTACTCTCGGAGTATATTGATGCACTTAAAATTCCGCTTTCCCACCCTGCCTGTTTGTGCATTATATTACAGTCTCTCTCTTTTACAGACAGGAAATGTAAGGGAGTAGCAATCTCAGCATGTCAGGAGGGCAGCTGGAGGATAATTAACCTCTGTAAACTTTGCTTCTGACCCTGAGCCATTTTGGCTGCTATTTCCAATGTTTAAGTGTAAGAGTTCTTTTTAAAATTATTTTAAAATAATAGTTAGCTTTAATTCTACTTTTTTCAAGAAAATACTTATAACAATCTGATGAAAATCATGTTCCCATAATTAAAAAAAAAAAACTGTTCTCATCCAAAGACTAAATTGTCATACTTATTTGCATAATTTTCATTTACCTCTTCCCTTTCTAAGCAAATTAGAAAGTCACATAGAATCAGAGCATGGCCAAATTTAAAGAATTAGAAATCACTCTTTTTTTTATTGATGAAGTATAAATACAAATTAAAAGTAACAAGAATACAAAAATAGTTTTACCAACACGTTAGGATAGATTTCTCACTAACAAATACATTTAAGTGATAATGATTTTTATATATTTCAACGTTGAAAATTCAGACTCAAACAAAACGTTCAGAATGGATCCTCCATTTGCACTCTGTTTCTTGAATAGCAAATGAACAGCTTCCAACACCCACGCAATGCAGAGGCCATTTAGGAGGCTGCTTCCCCCACTGGATCCTTCTTCCTTTCCGTCGTCTTCATCACTGTCTGGGACCAGACTGTGTGGGTGATTCTCCTTCATGAAATGAGTCTTCAACTAGTGGAAAAATCCTGAAAGCTTAGTGGCTATCAAATGCAGGCATTGTTTTGAAATGGCAATGTTTTATGGAAAAGCGTATATCTTTCATTTGAAAGTTATTTCAAAACAATTTTTTCAGTAGATCAATTTCAGCAATATGAAACGTTTCCTGAAGTATATTGAGGACCTAATGCATTATCTCATTTAATCTCCCAGCATTAATCCTACTAGGTAGATATCATTCTTACCATTTTACTAGGAAGTAACTGAGGCTTACAGGTCAAGTAACGATTTAATGACTAGGATACAGTCCTAATTCATGAGTATGATGTGCAGGGTCGACAGAACCTTGCCTGCTTCTCTAGCACCATCTTCCCCACCATCTTGCTTGCATCCTGCTCTCTGGCCATACTCAACTTCCATGTTTACGATCCCTCAGCGCTCTGTCTCACCTCCAGCCCTTGCCTCCTGTTGCTTTCCCATAGGGCACCCTTGACAAGAATGCTCTTCTTCCACTCTGGCTTCCTTCTCCTCCTTCGGAATTTAGCTCCATCTCTGCCTCTCCAGGAAGCTCTAACTGCCCAACCACAACCACTTCCACCTCTGGAGAGGGTTGGATGCTCTTGGTTTCTGCTCCTGCTGCCTTTCTCTTCTACAGGGTACTGTATTTGGCTGTTTTCTTGTTGATCTCTTTCATTAGACTGTGGACTTAGTTGCCTTTGTGGGAGTAAACACACGATAAGGAGGGCAAGGAAGGGTAGGAGGTAGACCTACTTGGAAAGCAGCTTCTTGGTGTGGGGTAAGATCAGCAGAGATTCAGCCTCCAGTTTTGGTGTCTGTGTCTACAGCTTCTACAGCAGTAACTAATGCTTAACATTGATCCCTGGGCACAATGGATATCCGAAGGCCTTCTGAATTGGGGAAGGAAGATTGAATTTATATTTGATATAATTATTGTTAACTGTTTTTAGGGTTGGGTCTTTTTATTTAAATTATGTTTTCATTATAACGTAAGTTTTATGTTTTATTTTAAAAAAAGAAACATCTGAAGCTGGATCTTACTATCCCAACATCATAACTCTTACCATGTTGGTGCATTTCTTTCTATAACTACATGGTTGTCATCATACTTCATCTGTAGTTTTGAATTTTGTTTGTTTTTCACATAAATAATTGATAGTAACAAGGGTAGTAATAGCTGACATTTATTGAGCCCTCACCATGATCTCATCTAAGTCTCATAGAAGCTCTGGGGGTGCCAAACTATGGCCCAAGGGCAAGTCCAACTGGCCACCTATTTTTTGTACAGTGCCCGAGCTAGGTATGATTTTCACATGGTTCAAAAAAATCAAAAGGAGAATAATATTTTTGGCCTGTGAAAATTATAAGAAATTCAAATTTCAGTATCTATAAATATTTATTGGAACACAGCCATGCCCATTCATTTATGGTTGTCTCTGGCTGCATTCACACCATAACAGCAGAGTGGAGTACTTGCAATAGGAACCATAGGCCCTCAAAGCCAAAATTATTTGCTCTAAGGCATTTTACAGAAATATCTGCCAACCTCTGCTCTATAAGATACATGCTATCATCATCTCCATTTTACAAATAAAGAAACAGGTCCTTAGAGAGGTTGAGGCTCCAAAGCTACAGAATTAGCAAGTGGCAAAACAGGCTTTTGTTCCTAGTCAGGTATTCTCATTCCTTGAAAGTTGGCAATCTACGTGTAACATGCATTAATTAAACTCTTCGATTCATTCGCCAGAACCTTCTGTTTCCCATCAGGAGTAAGAATGGGTATTTACAGTGACATCTTTCTTGTTGGAGGCTCAGCCCTTGGCGGCTTTCAAACAGTATTTGAACAGATGCACTGCTCTTATGTTCTCAGATGGAAACAGAAGCCTTAGGTTGAGTTACTTCCCCAGGATAATGTGACACGATATTCAGGCTTATTATCTCTGAGTCCAGGAGTTCTACTAGGAGGTCAAGCCTAGGGTTGGAAACGAAAGAGTCTCTCTTGTGCCTCAATCCAAAATGACAGTGACCAAAATTACAGGACTTTGAGTGTGGATCCCACAGCTCTCACTGGAACCCACTGCTGGCATCTAACACCCTGGTCAGGCCACACTATGTTCTCTCACTTATTCGTTTATTCAAGGTTCATTGAGCTTCAACTGTGTGCCAGTTACTGTGCCACATGGTAGGCATATAATGGTGAATAACTTGAGGGTACTACTCTGGAGAAGCTAATTTTTCAAGTTAACTGAGAGCTACCTGGTAATTTTTTTCCCACAAAAATGGAAGAGATTGCACTCATTACTTGATTTGAAATAAATATTTATTGACCAATGAGTACATTCCAGGCACTATGCTAGGTGATGGACCACACAGAAATAATCCCTGCGCTCATGGAGTTTATGATCTGGTGGGAAAGACAGTGAACAAATAATTTTAAATGTGATGAATTTATTCTGTGATTCCAACCTATTCTGTGAACTGCTTATGTGCAGTTAACAATGATGTTGCCTGGCCTGCGTCCTCATTTTGATAAGTTCTATTGCCATCTAAATCACATTAAGGTCCCCAATAAGATCAGCTGAGATACAGCTTGCCCCCAAAGAGAAAGAAGCTACAGAAAACAGAAATGGCCATGATCCTAAATTAATCCACAATAATAACTAGTATTATTTTGTACTTGATAGATTATTAAACTGTTTCACATACAGTATCCATATGATTCTCAAAAAAATCCCTGTGGGTTGAGTAGAGAAGATATTTTTATTATTCCTTTTATTTTCAGTTGGATCTCAGGGGCAGAGTTGAATTGAAGATATTCCTCATTCATAGCATGTTGTCATCACCAGTATAGGCAAGTCCCTCGTGTGTTTTCTGATTGTCCCCCTCATTCCCCATCTTCACTCCCACTCTCTTCTCTCAGTAGGCACCCACTTTAATACACATATATATATATATACAGTACCACATATACTACAAGAATATACATATTTAAGTAGTGTATTATATATATTTTTATTCTCTGTGTTTTATGATGTTTTGACATCTTAAAAAGCCTTTCTGGCTGGGGAGAGACTGCCCCTCCCAGGTCTAGCCAGTTCTGACAGATAGCCAAGGTCTCGGGCGGGGGCTTGCCCTCAATACGCAAACTGATCAGCACGGAGCCAGCCCTCCTCTGTCAGGCTGCACCCCCAGGAGGCAGTATTCCTCTGCCTTCATTATCCCAGCGCCAGGTGCCAGGCAACTAGGGATGTCTCCTCTGGCTCAGGGACCCCTGAAATTGTTCAAACTAGCCCATCCTAAGCGGTTCGCCGTGCCCTGCTTT